TGAGGTTATTGTTTAATTGTCCAACTTTAAGTGTTCTTTGTATATCCTAGATACAAATTATTTATCAGTTGTGATATTTGCAAATATTTTTCCCCAGTGTGTAGCTTTTTAAAATTTTCTCAATAGTATCAACAGCAGGGCAAAAGATGGTTAATTTTGGTTTTTTTTTTTTTTTTTTGGTACTAGAGATCGAACTCAGGTCCTTGTGCAGCAGGCGACAAAACCACTGAGCTAAATTCCCGCACCAAGATGGTTAATTTTGATGAAGATCAATTATTTGCCTTTTTTTTCTTGTATGCATTTTGCTTTTGGTGTCATAGCTAAGATTTTCTGCCTACCTCAAAGTCACAAGATTTTCTCCTACGTTTCCTTCTAAAAGTTTTATAGATTTTTGTTTAGATTATACCCTCATTCATTTTGAGTGAATTTTAAAAATAATTTATGAAGTATATGCCTATGGATGTCCAATTGTTCGAGCACCAGTTGTAGAAATGACTATCATTCCTTTATATCAAAGTGTTTATTTTAAAAGAAAAATATGATTCTGCTTAGTAACAGAATTCAAACATCTTCTAACATAAAGGGAAGAAATCCCTGAGATCATTTGATTCAGAAGTGATTAAGAGAGTCCTAAAGTTCCTTTTGCTCAAGAGAACAAGTGTCATAAACATATTAACAGTGTCATAAAACTAAATATATTTTATATTAATTTCTGGGATTTCTGGGTTGCTTTCTTTGCTCAGCTTATGTGTGTGTGTGCGTGTGCGTGCATGTGTGTGTGTGTGTGACATTGGGTATCACAACTAAGGTTGCTCTATCACTGAATTACATCCCCAGGCCCTTTTAATTTTTTTGAGACAAGGTCTTGCTGAACTGCCCACGCATGACTAGACTTGGGATCCTCCTGCCTCAGCCTCCCAGAATGCTGGGCTCACAGGCATGTGTCACTGCATCTGGCTCTTTGCTCAGCTCTTTAGAAGTTTTAACCATTCAGAGGTCCAAGGATCAAGAAATGATTATTGTTTTATGACATATATATATACACATATATGTACATATGACATATATAATATATATATTAAAATTTTAGAATGAGAATGAAATATAAAGCTCATTTAACATGTTTCTTTTAAAAATATTATAAAAATGACACATTTGTGTAACAGAATATAAATAATAAAGAGGAACCATCTGAGCATAGAGATAGCAGGGGACACTGGTGTTCCCACTACTCTGTCCTCTCCTTCTTGGTCTCCACGACTGGCTTCCCTTCCTCCTCATGACCCAGACGTTGGTGTGCCCAGGGCTCAGTGCTCAGATCTCAGTGCTTTCTTCCACTCCCTCCCCAGATGATATCATGCAATCTGAAGGCTGCTCCATGCGTCCAGTTCTTCCTTCCCTGAACTCCAGCCGGCTTTGTCCAGCTGCCTCTTCAACGCTTCCAAGTTGGCAAATAGCAACTTGCCTGACATGATGATCTTGGTTTTCCCACTTAGTCTTGTCTAATCTTTCCCATCTTAGGAAAGTGTGCCGCCATTCCTCCAGTTGATAACCCTGCAAACCTGGTGACTCTCCCTCTCCTTCAGACCTGATATTCATTCCTTTAATGAGATCTTTCAACCCGAACTGTTAAAATCCCTTGCATGTGACCACCTCCCACTGCTGCAGCTGCCACCTCTGGTCTGGACATGGCCTTATGTCTTCACTCTGTTCTTGTTCTCCACACCCATCCTGCACACTGATCTACACACAGTAGCCATAGGATCATTAAAGACATAAACCACATCTTGTCATTCTCCAGCACAGATCTCACCAGTGACTTAAAAAAAAAAAATCACAATCTTAATCAGATCCACATTATTTGTCCTGAGCCATAAGACCCTGCATGACCTGGCTCCAGCAGATCTCTCCAAATTTTTCTATCCTGTGACTTCTGCCCTTGCTTATTTTTGCTGTTTGCTGTTGTTTGAACTCAAGCTCACTGACCCTGGTTTTCACTGGGGATCTCAAGGCTCTTGTGTGCCAGAAGACACTTACCTTCCAGGTGCTTCCCTTTCCACAGAGGTCTCCCTGACTCTTCCTTCAGGTACCTGCCGTCCTTGCCACCTTCACATTCTGCTGTATTTTTCTTCAGAGAATTTGCCACTACCTGGCTTTATGTTATTTGTTTGTTTGCTGTCTGCCTCCTGTGCTGAAATGGAAGCTCCATGAATGTGGAACTTCATACTACTCAGTGTTGAAACCTCATCTTCCAGAGCAGAGTTGAGGCCATAATAGAAGCTTGGTAAATATTTCTGGAAGGATTGAATACAGTCTAAGATTAATACATGCAGATCCCTTTGCTCCTATTTCCCTCCCACTCCTTGCAGAAGTTATTACTGGTAATGGTTTGGGAGCTAGCTCTCTGGACTTCCAAAAGTGAATATAAAGGCAGCCAGACAGCTTTTTAATGATAATGAAAGTTGTTTTACATCATAGCTTTTCTTTCTTAATAATATATTTTAGATATTTTCTCCTAGTACTTTATCTACCTATTCATGTATTTATTTATATGAGTTTAAATAGATAATTCTTTTTGTTTTTGAGACAGGGATTTTGTAGTTCAGGCTGCTCTTGAACTCACTATATAGCCCAGCCTGACCTCAAATTTGCAGTGATCCTCCTGCCTCAGCCTCCCAAGTTCGATCACAGGTGTGCACTACCACACCCAGCTGGATAATTATTTTTAAATGGCTACTTTATAGTCCACAGTATAGACTACCACAATTTACTTAGTCATTTTCTTGTTAATAGATATGTGCATTATGTCCACTTTTTCACAATTATAAACAAGGCTACAGTGAATATGCTTATACATAAATCTTTGTACACATGGGCAAATAGAACACTCAAACTGTAGAACTGCTTGTTAAGAACTTGCTATGTACTACTTAATTTATCTTCCTAATAGATTATACTATTTTACACTACCAGCACCGATATATTGTGTCTGTTTCTCCACATCTTTGCCAATGCAAGATTATCACTACACTTTCAAAATATTCCACGTTAGTAAAAAAAAACCTGGGGTAAAGATCAGTGGCAAAGCACTTGCCTAGCATGTGCAAGGCCCTGAGTTCAGTGCCTGGCACTGCAAAAGGCAAAAATGACCAATAACTTGAATTATAGGTAGGCATTAAAATTTTCTAGACAGATAAACTCCTGTTTCTGGATTATAAATTAGCCTGATAAAGAAAGAAACCACATTCCTTGTGAAATAAATGGAGTAAATTAAAGAAGTAAAGCAAGTTGAGATGAGAAACACTTGCCTAGGTAAGACTCTTCCAGAGTCCTGCATGCCATATCATCCCGTGAGGTGTGCTTAGAGATCTGAAACCACACGCCCAGTATCCTAATTTTCTTGCTCTAAAATATCATCCCCAGATGATTTTTTTCCTTAAAAAGAACCCACAACACAAAACCTCAAGTGTTAGAGTTGGCTGGAGAGTATTTGGAAGTTGTAGCACTTGGTGATTTATTGTTATTTAACAATTTTGTGGTTTCTCCTGGGCCTGGCTAGATGTGCACTCAAGAATAAGAGAAGTTGTCTGTTTTAATGACTAGGACTGGCCTCCAGAACAGGGAGATGGGGATGAATAAGAAGAGCAATGCCAAGTCAGAGTGGAGAGCCAGTTCACCAGCCGCAGCTGGCAGCTTTGATGATGGCAGTCAGTTCTAGGCCAGACCTAGTGTGAATATTGGTTGGCTTTTGCTTGCTTGTAGTCCATCTTCAGGGCTGCACAGAGCCCCCGAGGCCACCAGAATCTTCTCTGTTTTCATCAGCTCCCAAATCAGAGGGAGGTACTTTTGTGACATCATCAATTAGAGTTTGAATGGTTCAATTGAAATTAGCTACTCTTACTATACAGATGACAAAATTGAGGCCCAGAGAGGCAAAATGATGCCCATACATCATGATCAAGACATTTTAAACCTGCTGCTATTAAGCAGTGAAGGGAAAGAGGTCTTTTATTTAAACTTCAAAGACTTAGCTTGTTGGACAGAAAAATGCTCTTGCTTTGAAATCTGTCACGCAGATGTGGCATGTAAGGTATATACTGTATGTCCTTGTACCTCCACCTCCCATCAGCCATGGCAGCATTGTTAATCAGCCTCCAGTTTCTGACCCAGCCTGAAAACCCTCCTTAAGCACAGCACTAGGCAGCCAGTCATTGTCACTCTGAGTTTTCATGTGAATTGAAACCTGTTGTCCCCTTCTTCTAAATGCTCTATCAACGTGATTCATGGGTGGTGCTAAGAGCACTGGATTGTAAGCCAGAAGAACCTGGCTCTCCCTTGGTCTTAGCTATACTATTTCATACAGGTCATTTAATGTTGCAGGGACTATTTGTTCATTTCTAAAACCAACGAGTTGAATTCAATCATCCTTAACCACCCCCCTTTAGCTCCGAAAAATGTTACAATTCAAGGCACATAGACCTCTCAATCTGTGAATTCAGTTACAAGCAGATAATTGAGTAAAGACCACAGGTGGTTCTTGGGAAGTTTGTGTATTACAAGTCTATTTTGGAATTCAGAAGTATGTATTTCTAGCCTTTTCTGATTACTTGTTTTCATCTGCATGGTCCCATTGACCTATATTCTTGAAACCAGAATTTAGGGACTCACGAAGGGGAGAGACAGGAAAATTTCACTTAAAACCTAAGGATTCTTCCTGGCTGGGGTGTGTGTGTGTGTGTGTGTGTGTGTGTGTGTGCACGTGTGTGTGTGTGTAGATAACCGTTCTCATACACTTAGCGGATTGGATCTCTACATTGTCTGCCCACCCTGAGGTTGTAAGTCTGGAGGTGCCTTTTCTTCCTTCCTTTCCTCCATGTAAGCCTCCTTATGAGCAGGAGGCCCTGTCATCAGACAAGTCTCAGCACGTGGTCTTCTCTGGGCTCCCAACCTCCTTCCACCCCCGTGCCTTGTGGTGACCTGCCTCCCTGTCTGTCTTCCAGGCTCCCCTTCCCTGAGGGCATATCCTCTCCTCTCGGTGATCACCCGGCAGCCCACGGTCATCTCCCACCTGGTCCCCAACAGTCCAGGAATCGCCCCAGTGTTGTCCCACCACGTCGCCACTGAGGCTGCATCTGCTGAGGCCCAGGGTGGCGAGGCTCTAGCCAGCAGTGAGTCAGAGACAGAGCAGCCCACGCCCCGGCAGAAGAAGCCCCGGCGGAGTCGCACCATCTTTACGGAGCTGCAGCTCATGGGTCTGGAGAAGAAGTTCCAGAAGCAGAAATACTTGTCCACCCCAGACAGGTGAGGATGTGGGGAGGGGACTCTCTGCAGGGAATGCTCTTGAAAAGAGGAGACTTGATTTTGTGGGACATGGCACCACGGAGGACTGTTTCAGTGATGCATGACACTATGGGAGGAGTCATACTCTTTGCTTCAAGTCATCTCAACCTTGGGTTAACAGAACCCAGCTGCAAGAATCCAGTGCATTGGCCTCCAGAGTCTGACTGTGGCTGAATGTATACTCAGCATATACTTCCACAGTTTAACTAGACCACTCCATTATAACAAGCAAAGGAAAATGATAAAAATGGCAGGCTTTCAGTTGGGAAACAGGCTTGGTTTTTAAGGCCACCCATACTTAGACTCAGGTCAATGGAACTAGATCTGGAATTGGGATCCATGATCTCAGTCTTGTCCTCACCCTTGTACCTCTGAGCTGAGTCAGTTTTCTGGCCTGGCCCTTGCTTGGGAAGGACCAGACTAACCCTGCCTTAGTGAATGTGATGGCTGTCAAGTCAGAAACACTTGGCAAGGCCCAGGAGGAGCTAGAACAGTGTCCCTTCTTAACACACTTTGAGTTCTGGCTGGGAAAACTGGTTCTTGTTTTCCTTGAAGGCCTTAAAATGTCATCTCCTCTCTTAAATTACTGTCTTAATGGCAAAATATGCAAGAATGTGTCTTTCTTCTTCCTTGAACTCACACAGGGATACTGAGCCAATCTTTGATCCTATTTATCGGGAGGATTTTCCAGGTCATTTTTCTCTTCTTTTGCTCATGGCCTTGTCCCTGTCAGCCTTGACTAGTCCTACCAAAATAATGAGAAGGAGACTCAGAGGAGCTCCGAAGCTACTGCATTTAGTAGTGTTGTGATAAAAATGAAAAGTGAAACAGGAGTCTGCAAAACATCCACTAAAAGGGAACTTGTCTACTGAGTTCAATAACCAGGTACCATTAGCTATTTGCTGAGGATTTCCTGAGTACAGACCTCTGTGGCATGTGTTATGAGTTCAGAAAGTAGTAGACAGAGCCCTTCTGTAAAGGAGGTTATTGTGAGGAATGACACAATAGAACCCAGCACCATGAGCCAGGTACTAGTACCATTGTGGTGCTAGGGCCATAGTAACCTGAAGATATTAATGAGGGTGGCAAGTGGGTTAGGGACACCTTTTCAGAGGAGGTAACATTGAAGAAGAGCTTTGATTCAGAGGGGATAGCACACAAAAGTCACAGAAGCAAGTTTTGTTGAACATGTTAAGGAAAGTGCAAGTGGCTGAGATATCACCAGCTTATGGTGTGAATAGGGAGGTTGTGAGAGATGGGGCTGGATGGAGAAAGGGCCTCATATTCCTGGCTGAGGAATGTGGGCTTTGTTGTTTAGGTAGTCAGTAGCCTCTAAGAGCCGGAAATGACATGATGGGGTTTAAATTTTAGAGCCAAGGCTTTGGTGGCACCATAACTGATTGGTTAAAAGATACAAAAGATAGAGTAGTGAAACCAGTTAGGAGAGAATCTAGGGTATTGACAGTGGGAACAGAGAGGAGAAAATAGATGGAGGAAACATTTTGAAGATGGAATGGGCAGAATTAATAGTGGAGGATGAGAGCAGAAAGTTGAGAATTCTATCGCTCTTGGCTTGGGCCACCAGTAAATAAGGATGCCATTCAGTGATGTGGGAAGAAGGCAGGAGGCAGGTGGGTTTGGTGGGGGAAGAGTGAGTTCTGTTTTGAAGACTTGAAGGACTTAGGGTACCTTCAGGTGGACAAGGGAGATAAGTTTGTGAATTGGGGATTCAGCTGGGATCTCCAGATATTAAGTGCTGTTTTGATATTCTGGCAGGTAACTGAGAGCCTTGTGGGCCTAGGTGGCCATGGGTTTCTCATGAGTTGCATGGTGGTGTGCCTAAAAGGTTTAACTTGCAGGGGTAACATTTTATTTTTCAGAAGTCAGAGAACTTTTTACAGAAATGTTAGCTCTCAGTAAACCTCTTCGGCTTCCCCATACCTGCCTGGGCATCTCTCAGGTGACCTACACAGGCCTGATTCACTTGCCTGGGGAGAAGGACACATCTGGCTGGCATTGAAGCTGCTGCCTGAACCCGCCCTCTGAAATGTTCCTCAACTCCCTACGTGACCAGGGCCATGAGCACTCCCTCCTCCCAGAGCTCCTGCCCTCGTCCTCTGTATTTGTTTCTCTGGTTTCCTAGGTGATTCCATTTAACTGAATATGCAGGGAAGTGAGAATTTGTAATTTGTGGCAGGTAATGAGAGAAAGTTGATGACAGTGAAGTGTGTTTCTTTAGCCAGAGTGAGTCAAGGATGCATTTTTCCCAAGTGAGCTAATACCATTTGCTAATGCAGTGGCAGAGCTGTGAACTTTCCATTGACTAATGCACCTGATGGCCTCAGGTGAACTGGGCTTGGGACAGCACTGCTGGAGCCCAGGGAGGCCCCGCACACCAGAAGTCTGTGGGATGGCACCCTGGTTCTTGCTCCTCAGTGAATGACTGTTGGGATGCAGTGCTTCATTAATGAAAAAACTAAGCCTCTTGGCTCTGGGAATTTATTGATTTCTTTCTGTTAATCACTTTCAATAAAACTTTCAACTATAAGTGTCCTTTCTACAGAGATGACCAGGTAGATGAGCATGCAGAATTAAGACAGGTTCTGAAATCTGTCAGAGGCACATTCCACTTTATTAGATATTTGATGTGTGTGTCTAGTCAGAGTAGAGGGGCTAGGCAGCTGCACCTGAGGGTACCAAGTATCAACACTTGGAACCTTCAGGACCAGTATCCATGGGTCCTGGCAATCCATAGATGTCCTCAGACAGAGAAAGCTATAGCTGAGAACTTGCACTTAACACTCCTAATGGCTCAGGTTTGTGTCTGTGCGGGTTTGTATGAGACAGAGGGCAACAAATCTGCAAGTGGTTACTCTCAGAAACCTGGGGACCTTCAGAGTGGTAGTCACTGACCAAACTGCCTTATAAGTCCACACTGCTTCACTGAGCATGTTGGCACTGCAGAAGGTGGCTAATGTTGGCTCAGGGAGATGGGTTTCCAGGTGGTGGTCAGGTAGACTTGAGGTCTGACCCACATAGGACAGAGGAGAGTGAGGTTCGGATCCTGGCTACAAATTGCTCTTACTTTCTACTTCCCTACTCTCCACTTGGGTTGTTTGCTACTCCCTAGGATGTAGTATCTCTGCATTTCCTTCTGATAGATCTGTCTTGTACAAAAATACCATGGGTGGGGATGTGCCTTGATACAGGAGATGGTGTGCAAGTTATATACAAGTGGATTTGAATCCTGCCTGCGCCTCTTACTCCTCCAGAATCATCTTCCAGGGATCAGCTGGGAGATGCTAATCAACTTCACATTGTGGTGCAAGGAAAATATAAGATAGCTTGTGGCAGGTCCTTAGTATGTAGCCTATGATGCTCAAGAAATAGTGTCACTGTGTTGTTGGAATTAGCCCAGTTGCATGCTCCTCAGGAAGAGCTTTGGATTTTAGAACTTTTCAGAAAGCTACAGAGAAATGAAGAATCATGATTAGCAATAACCATGGAAAGCAGGAGGGGCTATAGCTTTAATGTTTCATGTGGGATGTTTATAATATTTAATCTTTTTGAACGTTTTAATTGTTGTAATAGTTCAGAGCAGCTACAGTAAATGAATCAATCCATCAAAAATATTTTTCAGCCCCGGTTTTGAACTTAGCCATATGAGAGGCATTCCTGTGGATATAAACGAAGTAGATTGCTGTTGAGTTAAGGAGACAGGAATAACACACATGAAGAGCTTCAGGACAGTTGAAGACATGGGACTATCTGGTTGGCTGCTGGCCTGTGGGAGGGGTCACGGGAGCCAAGAGGCTTACCTGCTAGAGATGGGACTTGAACTGGTTCTGAAATTATGAGTAGGATTCTACAGATGAATAACTTTACCTTTCATTTCCAGTTTGGACTTTGGATCCAAGAACCCATTTCATGGAGGATCTGAGTGATTGCAGCAGGATTTTGTAGTGATGGTTCAGACATCCTTTGCAAATCCATAGTAGACCAGGAATGTTTATGAAATGGGGACTTCCCCAGGTGTCCTTGGGTATGGCCATTTGTTCCTTAGCTTCCTTTTTCCATAGGATTCTTGGAAGGAAAGAAACGCTCTTTGGGGAAGAATTGGCTTAAGGGGGGTGGTTAGATCTGAGCTGGAGCTAGCCAGCAGGCCCTCATCTCTCTTGCCCTCTGCTATCTTCCTCATCCTTCCTTTGTATTTCATGCCTTCTAGGTTGGATTTGGCCCAGTCTCTGGGACTCACTCAGCTGCAGGTGAAGACTTGGTATCAGAATCGCAGGATGAAATGGAAGAAAATGGTAAGAAAGGAAAGAGTTGGTCTAACTGTGTGCCAATCCTGATGAGAAGAGCTCTTACTACAGAGCTGTTGGAGGCAGGAAGGATCCTTTGGTGGTTTGGCCATGATATGGGAACACCTAAAATGCTGGCTGGGCAGGAGGCAATTTGAACTTGACCTGGATTTCTTAACTAGAGGGTTATTCTTTTTCAGTTAGAAATCAAAGAAAGGTCACGAACTTCCCAGCTTGAACCCTACCTGCTGACCTTTTCGAAGGCCTTGCTTCCTGTCCGACCGATAACTAAAAACAGAAGTCAGTATCCACCCTTATAGTGATAGAGAGCACATGTCTTCCCTGTAACAGAGAGACCCTTACACTTGGAGGGGCATCTAAGTCACCTGGGTACAGGGGAGTCTGCAGGAATCTAGGCCCCATTCTAGGATGCTGACTGTGGAGCTTGTGACAGAGCTGGTGACAGGCATGTCAACAAGCACCCAGGTTATTCTGAAGTGCAGGACCTAATGACCACTGTTTCTGTACTATGGCTCCAGTGCCTTTTAGATGAATACTCCCATCTTTGATCTTTAAATGCACTGTGAATAAACATCTCTGCATTTTGTCTATATTTTGAGAAGAACTCGATTTCATTATTGTCTAGCTTTCTTTTCTTTTGAAAGGCACTGTTAAACTCAAATTTTCCAAAGTGGTTGACTGCTTAATTTCCCAGTTCTGTAATCCACAAGGGACAAGATCAAGGCCCAGAGAAGAAAAAAGAGATGTGGGGATAGACACCAGTACCCCATGTCCTCTGACATAGGCCTTGCTCCCAACCTCACTAACTCTTACTGGCCTTTTCTGCCCCATATGGCAGGTACACCATGCCTTCCTGAGGACATTCCAATTTGCTAACATATCTGGTCACAGCCGTATTTCCTGGCATTTCAAGGGTTGGAAAATTTATCTTTCAACAGTAATCACATTTTTCACATTTGTAAGTTTGGGCCATTTGTGCTATTGTCTGCTAACATTGAGGGGGAAGAATAAATATTAATGGGAATTCAAGTGAATATTAATGGGAAAAAATCAACAAGCAACAGTTATTATATTCCCAGAAAGGAAATCCCAGGCAGATCTCATAATCCCCTTTGGGGATCTTGACTTGAGATGGCAGAGTTTTCAAGTGGAGGTGACTTGGCTCATGAAGCTGCTCACTAAGGCAGAGACACTAGGTGTGTGTATAAACAACCATATATTGTATAAATTTAAAAAAATGTATATTCAGGGTCTCTTGTGAATCATGCCTTGTCTTAGACACTGTGGGAAGTAATGAAATAAAACATAACCTTTGCCTTCATGGAATTTATGACCTAGTTAGAAAAAGAAGGCCCAGGAAGCAGCTAGAGAGGACATTATGATTAAGAGCCAGTTGTTTATTATAGATTGATTAAGCTCTTATGAGTGCAGAGGAGAGGTAGTGAGGAAGGTTGAGAGAGAAGTCGCAATTGAAAGGTGAATGAGATTGAACATCCAGTCATTTCAAAAACTCTACAGTACTATGCACCTGAAACTTACAGTGGAAACCATTTAGGGGGTTGTTCTCTGAAAGAACCAGATTGGGGAGTGAGAACTGCTGGGCCATGTTCCCATGCTTGCCTCTCCCTGGCTGGTTCTGGGCAAGTCCCTTCAGTGCTCTCTTACAAGCTCCACCACCTACCTCCTGCCTCATCAGTCATCATCATTGGAATCAGTGTCTCCTGAGTAGCAGAGCATTGTTCAAATTGGTTATCAGTAATCTGCTCATGAATCAGATGACTAAGGGACTGACAGCCAGCTCTCTGCCTGTACCACCAGTACCTGTAGGACAACACATGTGCCCTTGCCTCTGACGTCACTTGTTTTTCGGCAGCCACTGTGGTGCTGGCATCGTTTGTGGGCTGGTTGTTGATAGTCATAGATGCCATATAAATCAAAATGGAAGTATCTCAGCAGAATTAACCTCAGAGACTGTTCTAGGCCAACCAGATTCAGATCCCTTTAGGAAACAAAGAGCCAAGCTTTTCATTTCACATCAGCAATAATTTATAGTTAGTTTCATTAAGGAATGCAGATACAGGGACAAACTATGAATCTGTCCATTAAAAAATAAAATAAAAAAGGTAGTCATACAAGTGGGGGAGACAGGCCTGAAAACTAAACTATACAGAGAGACTGGGGGAACTGAAGGAGGATTTACAGGATTCAGAATCAGAACAGAGAATGAAAGACTTCATGGAAGAGGTACCACCTAAATAAGTTTCAGTGGATAAAAATAAATGTGCCCCATGAAAGTGGGAAGGAATTCAGAGAGGAAGAAGGGACAAGAGTCTTTGGGTGCACATAAGCATTTCAAAATGGTGGGAGCTACCTGTGAGGGACTGTGTTCTATTGGGAGTCTGAAATCTGATTCCCTTGGAACAGCAAGGCATTGTTGAGACTTGGATTGCTTCATCTGTTTTCCTGGTAAAACTCTTTCAAGGCTATCTCTTTAGGTACTGAGAGGAAAAGAAAAAGATAATTGGGTAATAAAGATGTCTCAAGGCTAGTAACCTAATTGGAACTGGAAAAAGATTAGCACTTGTTTCTCATACGTATTCACATGGCTGCCAAGGACTACCTGCCAAAACCAAGATATCATCTCCAACTAGTTTTGACTGGTCAGCATTTGTAATCTATAGCGGGTTGAGTAAATTTAATCTTGCACATTAGATGGGACACTCACCCTCTATTCCATTTCTGTTGGCATTAACTCCAGTAGGATCCACAGTGTTTTGTAACAGGCTGAAAGCATTTTATTATTCAGTGGTCTTGTTTCAGCTTTAAAATGCAGTGAGATGATCCAAATGGATACCACATTCTTCTCCCACTTGGAGAATTTGTGTGGGCCACACACCACCCACCATCATTATCTTTTGCGTTGAAAGTCCCCAGATAGTCAAGAATTCTGTGAAATCATTACCAGTTACTATCTAGGGAATCTTGGACAGGTTCCTTAACCTGTGTGTGCCTCATCAGTAAAATGACTTATGTGTACCTTATAGAGTTGTATCAACTGAGCTAATTTCTAGACAACATTAAGAGCAGTGCAGCCCATGTAGGACACAGCCAAGGGATGTTAGCTGCCATTATTATTGTTGTTATTTACCTATCCACAAAATCCATGTCTCCAAAGAATCCAAACTTGTGGAAGCTAACAGAGATAAACTGAAAGAAAATTCCATGGGTTTCTGGAACCGTGAGCTTTTCTTCTGGTTAAGGGTACTCCTGGCTTCTTGGCATTTGGGGCCCTACTTGAGGTATAACAGAACATCCTGTCTTCAGGCTGGGACAGTCAGCTAATGTTAGCAGTAATGTTCTCAGAGGAGATTTATGCCAGAGCATCCAAACTCGTTTTTCTCAGCTTCATGAAAACTGCCATCAGTCATATGGCCTGCACAGTTCTAAAAAGCTACAGATAGAGCAAAAAAGGAACAAAAGCCACACAGGTCAAGAGGCTACTGACTGGAGTCTGCAAGGACACTGGGTAATTGCAGATAAATGCCAAACACAGAAAAATCAGTAGTGCATTTCATGTGTGCCCCACACATTCTGCAAAATAAAATCCTGGTAAAAATGTTGAATTTGAATAGTTAAGGTGTTTCCTGTCTCAGAAGGGAAAAAGGGAGAAGGTTCCCCACTGCACTAGCATTCTGTGCTCTCTAGCCACACTGCTTGCCCTCCACCTAAGCACCTCTAGAAGGAAGCAAAAGACAATCTTCACATCCTCAATGCCAGAGCATTTGAATGCCTTGCTCTGGAGTTTGGAAGGAAACTATCAGCAGGCAGCAGAGCTGAAAAAGTAGATGGTGTGCTACGTATTTCTCCAAGAGGCAGAGAGAAGCATGTGATCTCTGGTACAGTAGATTGTCTGGCATCGCTGGACCAAGAGGACAAATCAGTTCTAGGAATAGCTTGGGAGAAGGGCTCCTGGGAAGAGGACCGCAGGGTGCATGGGAGTGCAGTTCCTGGTGCAGGGAGGTTCTGAGATAATTGCATGTCTCAGGTGTGCTTGGAGGCAGGGGGCCAGAGGTTGATATGGAAAGCAGCCAATAGGGTAGTTATCTCCTAATTATTGCTTGCACTGGAATGTTTTATTCCATTTTAAAAAGGTCTGATTGTTTTGATTTCTTTTTCATGCTGTAGGAAAACAGCCAGATGAGATCGATCCAAGCTGTGTGGGTGGTGTTCTCTAATTGCTGGGCTGGACTTTTTTTGCCAATTAGGTGGCTTCCTTAGACCTGCCCTTTTAAAAACATGATTACTACATGGGGCAACTTACTTTTGTATAACCTCTTTCATACCCAGTGGAGCTGCTTTCAACAGGTAAATTCCTTCTTGGCACATTCAGGTACTTTCAAAAGCCTGTGCTCAGACTGAAATCAAAATCAGATACTGACTCACCTGAAAAGGTGTACAGGGACACCTTCTCCCCAGAAATGTTTTCCGTCAACATCCATACCTTGTTAAAGGTCCCTTCACAACTCTGTGTTAACTGTTCAGGTAGATTCAAACAGATAGAGCAGATTCACTGCTAAAAGGAGGCGTTTTTTGAGAACATATGGTTTTCCTCATACCTCTACACCAAAATTAGCTCAAAATTTATGATAGACATAAATGTAAAAGCTAAAACTATAAAAATCTTAGAAGAAAACATAATAGTAAATATTTACAATATGGGATTAGACAAAACTTCCTTAGAAATGATATGAATAACATAAGCAACAAAAATTAAATGGAACTTCATAAAAATTATAAACTCTTCTGCTGTGAAGAAAATCATCAAGAAAGATGATTCATAGAACAGGAGATAATATTTCCAAGCCTTATATCTAATAAGGGACATTTATAATATTTAAATAACTCTTACAACACACACTAAGAAAGAGATAACCAAGTTTAGAAAGGGTAGTAAAGGATTTGAATAGACCTTCCTCCAAAGAAGATACACAACAGTCCAATGAGCACATAAAAAGATGCTAAACTTCATTAGTCATCAGGGAAATACAAATCAAAACCACCATGAGCCACCATTTTGCACCCACTTGGATGGCTATAATCAAGAACTCATAATAACAAGTGTTGGTGAGGATGTGGAGAATTGGAATCCATACATACTGCTGTTTGGAATGAAAAATGATGCAGCTGCTCTGGAAGAATAGTCCTAAAAATGTTAATAATGTTAATCATAAAGTTGCCATATGTTTCAGCAATTCCATTTCTGGGTGTATACCCAAAAGAAGTGAAAGCAGGAACTTGAACAGATATTTACATACCCATGTTCACACTAGCATTATTCACAATAGGCAAAATGTGGAAGTAACCCAAGTGTCAATCAACAGATGAATGAATAAACAAAACATAGTATATGCACAAAATAGAAGGTTATTTTCTTATGATGCACACTGCAACATGGATGAGCCTTGAGAACGCTATGCCAAGTGAAAGAAGTCAGTCACAAGAGTCTATATACCAAATGATTCCATTAATATGAAATGTCCAGAATGGGCAAATCTATAAAGAGAAAAGGCAGAATTGGTGGTTGCCTAGGGCTAAGTTCCAAGAATTGGGGGAAAATGCAAAGTACTGCTGATAGGTATGAAGTTCCTACTGGGAGTGATGAAAATGTTCTAGAATTCCATTGTCATGAGAGGTGCCCAACTCTAACTGTATTAAAATTACTCCATTGTGCACTTGAGATAGTCAAACTGTACAGGTGAATTGCATCTCAAAGCTGTTTTGTAAAACAATTTGTGATTTGATGGGTTGCTATACTCGTTCAGCACCTCTGCTGTTTTTGAAGAAGAGACATTGTCACTAAATATCACTGACCACATAGAAAGTTTATTGGAAGTTAGGCTTTCCTAGGAGCGAAACAGAATTGGCTTTCAATGAACTTCTGCGCAACTAAGGAAAATACCATTAAGTTAGTGTATGCTGTAGTATGAATCTGGAACATTGCTCAAAGACCCATGTTTAAAGCCTGGGTCTTCAGCTTGAGGCTGTTGGAAGGTGATGTGACTTTAAGAGGTGGAGCCTAGTAGAAGGGAGTTAGGTCACTGGGGGTGTGCCTTGAAGAGCATATGCCCTTTCCTATCTCCCTCCCCCACCTCTCTCTTTGCTTTCTGGTCACCATGAGATAAGCAGCTCCCTCTACTTCATGCTCTTGCTACTATGATGTACTGACTCCCCACACGCCCCAAATCAATAGACCAAGTGTCCACCGACTGAAACCTCCCAAACTATGACCCTGAATAAACCTTTCCTCCTTCTAAGTTGATTTATCTCAGACATTTTGTCACAGAGACGTAAAGCTGACTAACACAGTGTAAGTCAGCTTATACCCCTCATTCACTGTTTAATTCAAATCCTCCCAAAGCCCTTCTCACTAGCTCCCTAGAAAATTAACTACACCAGGTTAGGTTTTGAAGCCAATGGAAAAAGGACTGTCTGTTACATTCCAAAGTAAAATATAAAGAGAAATAAATTGTCCCTTTCTACATATGGGATTCCCGTGTAGAACACAAATTGGGTTAATAAATGTGCAAGATCATTCACATCAGCAAAGGCCACTTCTGGCACAATTCTTCTGCTTGCTTTAGGTGCCTCTTCCACTCTTTGGAAATGTTTATTGAGAAGGGTTAGTTCACTCCATCACAGTTGTCAAATGGCTGCTGCTTGCAGGGACTTAGGGGAAAAGGCAGGCAAATACACATGCAGGAACAGCATTTTATGAAAAACTCCAATGACATATGGCAAAGTGAATTTGAGTTGAAGCAAGGCAGGCTTCCAGGAGAAGTCAGGCATGTTCTGAGATGAGGAAATCTGCCATTCAGGAAAATGTCTGGCCCTCTCACATATATTATCTGCCGGCTACCCTCAACTCACCCTGTGAAATTATTATCCCCATTTTGTAGATCAGAAAACTGAGGCTCGGCCTCTTTAAAGGGATTTCCCACAGATAAAGATGATAAAGGTCTGAGTTGGAATTACTTTTCTAACTTTCAAAGCTAGGACACTTTCTACTATACCCTATTCTTCGAACAACAAAAAACTATATTTTTATAACATTTTTTTTCCTGATAATAGAAATACTTATACACTTTTTAATAAGACGAGATCCCACTTGTTGGTTGTTTGTGCTAGTTCACAGGCAACTGAGGTTTTGTTCATAAAATCTTTTCTTACACCAGTGTCTTCAAGAGTTCTACCTAACCTCTGTTCCCACTGGTTCAGTGTTTCTGTTTTAATATTTAGATCTTTCATCCGTTTTGATTTTAGTTTAGTGCATGCTGAGAGATATAGGTCTAGTTTTAATCTTTGGCAAGTTGAAGCCCAATTTTTCCAGCACCATTTATTAAAGAGGCTATCTTTCCTCCAGGGAGGGTGTTTGGCTCCTTTGTCAAAGATGAGGTGGCTGAGTGTGTCTGAAGTTGTTTCTGCATCTTCTAATCTGTTCCACTGGTTGTCAGGTCTGTTTCTTTGCCAGCACCATGCACAGGAAGAGAAATGACCAACAGTGTGAAGAGACACCCACAATGTGGGAAAAAATTTTCACCTGCTGTTCCTCAAAGGTCTACTATCTAGAATCTATAAAGAACTTAAAAAAATCAGACCTCCCAAATTTAAAGACCCAATCTAAAACTGGGCATCTGAAATGAACAGA